GAGATACAGCAAAGTTGAAGTTGTTTCAGAGTTTGAAAGAAATTTCTTACAGCTCTGGCAAACTCAATTACTGCTATTTGCATCCCCAAGCAGATCCCAAGGTAAGGAATTTTGTTCTCTCTAGCGTATTTTGCTGCTAAAACCATTCCGCTCACGCCACGATCTCCAAAACCACCAGGAATTAGAATGCATTCTGCGCTCTGCAACAAACAAAAAAATAGAGACTATATTGTTGGCAAAGAATGTCTCCTTTTCTCTAGAGAAATGGAAAGGTTATGAACTAAATCGAATCTTACACATAACAGAGAAAGCTGAGATAGAAATTCTCACCTTCAAGATTTTCCAAGCAGCAGCATGTGCTTCTGGAGTCTGCAAAGGAGAAGATGATGCTTAAAAGAAAAACAGTGGTAGTATAGTTTAAAACCTGGATCAGAAAGATTCAATAAGATGAAAGTCATTAATGGTATATACCGATTTTTCGCTTTCGTCTTCAAGATCTGAAGCTGCAATCCATTCGATCTCTGGCTTCAATGAACATGCAATGCAGGCATGAAGAAGGGCCTGCGGCGAAGAGGAAAATATGAAAAACAAAGCAAACCAAATGCAACAGAAATTCAATTTGTAGAAGACAACGTCTAGAATTCATTTTTGTGCAAGTTTACCTTAACAACCGACAAATAAGAATCCGTTAGACCAACATACTTTCCAACCATAGCAATTTTGACCTGTGCAAATCAGAGGGATCATCACGTTAAATAAGAAAAGTAAAGGATCTAAAACAAAGTGTACTGGCCAGAAAATACTCACATGATTTGTTAAGTTATCAAAAGTCTCAGCCATCTTAGTCCAGCTATCCAGATCAGGTACTGTTGCAACGCTGAAAGAGATGAGTTTTGTGGATTTTACGTTATGTTGAAAGTGTTCACTTGTGATATCGAAGCAATGAACACCATAAGATATGAGACTAACCTGGTTAGATTCAGTTGTTTGAGAATCGAGTGATGAGCGTTTTGGTTCTGCAGCAAGAGCACACATGAAAAAGTATTTCAAAGATAAACACACATATTTCGGAAGAGCCAAAAAAGATCTAACTTACTCGGAGTAGGAGAGGAACATGCCAAATGTTTGGAACATCATGGATATTGAGAATATTAGCAGCCTGAAAAACAGTCAACAAGTGATATAAGATCTCAAATGCATAAGATATACATCAGTTAAGTAATCCACATTGTAGACTTGAGACAAGTTATACCGCCACATGACAAAACTGAGACAATTTTGCCTTTGTAGGTTCCAGTAGTGGCTGCAGAACAAACAAAAAAATCACGTTAAGACAAGTCAAGACTTTGAAGTAACTGTGAGGGTCATAGTTTTCCAAGGTATGACTGATTTAAGTAAGTTTCGAAGCGATACCTGAGCAGAGCGACATGCCAAAAAGTGAGGAGTTAATCCCAAAGCTCTTAGTTCTCGGACACTGTGTTGGGTTGGCTTTGTTTTCTGCAAGAAGGTATAAATACAAAATTCAGTCCGATTTTAAAGTTCACCATCATTGAAGCATATGTCTAAGTAAGAAAATATTCTTCTACCTGCTCCCCAACAACACCAAGAACAGGAATCAAGCTCACATGAATAAGGCAGAAATTTTCTTGTCCTAGCAAAGCGAAATTCGAACAAACCAACATCAATAAAAATAAAGTAGTGAACCACTGAAAGAAATCCCAAGAGGAAGAGGATTTTATAGACTTACCAACCGAGAATGACAATTGTCTCAAAGCCTCAATAAAAGGCATTGATTCTATGTCACCTATCATAAGCAGAAAAACAAAGAAGTAAATAAGGATTTATGAAACCGTAGTTAAGTAAACGAGGACGAGATATGAATGGTATTTGCCAAAAGCTCTTACCAACAGTCCCTCCTAACTCAATAACACAAACATCGGCTTGACCTTCCTTTCCATCCACAGGAATCAGAGAGACTGACTCAATCCAATCCTTGATTGCATCTGTAATGTGTGGAACAACCTAAAAGAAGATTTTCAACAGAAAAAACATAAGCTTAACCTACAAAATCTAAACACATTCTACTAATTATTCACCCACACAAAATTTTACCTGAACAGTCTTCCCTAGGTAGTCGCCTTTTCGTTCCTTCTCAAGAACAGACTAATAAGAGAAAAAGGTAAAAATGTTAATCACGTATACAAAAACCCTGCATACAATGTAACATTTAACATTACAATGGCCACAAATCAGTAGTACCTGATATATCTTCCCAGTGGTTATGTTGTTGTCTCTGGTTAGTGTCACATCAAGAAATCTTTCATAGTTCCCCAAATCAAGATCGACCTTAGAAGGAGGAACACAAAACAATCAACCATTCTTTAGCAACAGGAAGCTTGATGAACAAATGTAAAGAAGCGTGAGAAGAAAACCTCTCCACCATCATCGAGTACAAAAACTTCTCCATGCTCAAAAGGGGACATAGTACCAGCATCAGTGTTCAAATATGGATCTGT